AAAGAAAGAAAGAGGGGTGGGATGTAATTTTGAGCAGTTTCATCGTTGGAGTCCCATAGACCATGCTCTGGTAAGGAGAATAGTATCCTAAGTTGTATACAACTTTTTCTTCCTCTCTTCCTAACAAAGACATTGATGCCAGGCCATGGGACTTCCAAGCCGAAGAATGTACTTTGAGAGCCAACGTTGAGGCTTTTAACAGCCGCCGGTATGACCGACCCCAAGATTCTGAATTTTCACCTGTGGATAACTGCTTGCAGAGTGTACTGGGGCAGAAGTTGGATCTGCCTGAAGATTTCCACTATTCATATGAGCTCTGGCTGGAGCGTGAGGTGTTTTCACAGCCCATCTGTTGGGAGGAACTGCTCCAGAATCACTAACTGAGCTCTTGTCAACAAAGCATCGATAGATGGAGGTTGGCTCCAATAAATGGTGCTCTGCCTACCTTGCCCATCCAGCCTTCATTGCCATTTCTAGGAGTGGTTGTCAAAGGGAGATCTGGCTAAGCACTAGGACATCCAGTATAGTTTAGGGCTTTTCTGGGAGCTATTGGGCCTAGACATGATGCAAGGCTGGGATCCTAATTCACAACAAAATGACTTTTTTTTTTTTTTCACTGTAGTATGCCCAGGGGTCAGTTGGGTGCCCAGTTAGCCTCAGCTGGCCACAAGAGTGAGAGGAAGTTTATTGTGGCATTCGACTGGTAACTTTCATCACAGACAGTGGGGGGCGCAGGTCGTAAATTAGGGAGAAAGTTTTCTTCTTATTCACTGTGGATTCTTAGGACTTTTAAGAGGTTTGGCAAAACCAACTTTGAAATTAAGTCTATATTTTAAGTTTTAAATTTTGACACTCACTCTTTCTAAAATCATTAGCTCTAAAATGATTTTAGAGCACCTTCACCTTTGTGGAAGATGATGATTTACTATTCCCTACATAGTGCATGTTATAGAAAAGTATGTTGTGTGGTGTTTCTTTTTCTTCGTTCTCTAAGAGATTTGTGTTCAATGTGAATATTGTTTCCTTGTGTACTCTATATAGGGCATGGAGTGCTCTGCTATTTTTAAAGAGTCACAGCCAATACCAATATGAAATAATCAGGCCATCTTTAGGGATGTTTCATGTTTTTCCTGAAGCTACTTTAGTCTTAAGATGGCTGAGTACACGGCAGAAAATCATCCTTTTCATGCAGTTCATTTCTTAAATGACAAGTTAGCTACAGGAGGTTTTATTTATTGAGATGGCATGCTCATTTGTGTTCAAGATTGATTTATTTTTTTAATTGAAAAGCACAGTAAGAGCATCGCAGCTTACCATTTTTCTTTTTCTCCAATGTTGATTAATGATTTTTTTATTTTATTTTACTGCAAGCAGTTTCAAAATGTCATGTGGAAATTTAGCAATACTGTTTCTACCTAGAAGTATTGCACATTTCATTGAAAACATTAGGCTTGATATACAAACCTCTTTACACTTCTTTCATTTACAGCAGAATTACATAGTACACAAAAGAAATCGGTTTTAGAAAAATTTTTGATTTATTCAGGATTATTTTGTTTCTGTCTCCACAATTATGACGTCTGTGTCTTCATGCCTTTTTACTGTCAATGGTGCAAATCCCCTCCCCAACATAGACACTACTGAGTCTTTCATATGATGACACCAGGTCACTTTGTGCTAGGACACCTGGTCAATTTGCTTATTTTGTCTTTTGTCAACCACAGTCTCACTTGCAGGTCATGATAGAGTACTTGACACTATCAAAAGGAACAATACCAAAATCTAGTAGGTAAACTTTGGAATCGATGTCTTTGTGCTTCAGGAGAGGAGGATTTGTGATTATGGCAGGGTCATGGAGAATTAAATATGTAATGGATGAAACTTCTTTAGATGATTTGTAAATTTTATCTAAATAGCAGTCCTACTGTGATAAAAATAATCTACTAAGAATGTCTTCTATGAATGTTATTAATCTAGGGTCAGGCTAGATTTCAATGTGATTTTAATGAAAAGACAATTTTCAAGGAAAGAGCAATCATCAGTCTCTTTCCTTTAAAGCCATACAGTATTCAAATTGTGTCAAGAACAAGTAAGTTACCCTTTTAAAAGTACTCATGGGAGTGCCTTTTGAGGTATGGAAGAATGCTAAACTTTAAAATTTCATGCTTTATTATTTACAACTGTTCTCTAAGGGAAGATTAATTCTCACTGCAGATGGAGAAACTAATTAATTGTTTTCTGCCATGGACTTGCTGGACCTTGCTTTCATGTATTGCCAGCCAGCCCCATATGCTAAGGTAAGCAGGCTGACCCTCCCAATTTGAGAACCCATGAGTATAGTTAGGAATAAACTCAGATTGACCAATCTCCAATGCTGATTACTGTTACTGCATAGAAAAACATTATTTGAGTGATTTATAAAATAGAAGATTTTTATTTGTGAATGTTTCAACAACGTTTGTGTTGATTGTTGATAACACTATCTACCGAAGCACTTTAATAAAAATAAGCTGGAATTAGAAATTTGGTCTTTAAATTCTCCAACACAGGAAAACTTAATCATATTATAGAAAAGAAGGATATAATAAAAAGGGTGAATATACAAAATCTTGCATTAGTCTGCACCCAGGGAATACTCAAATAACTCCAAATCTTAATGACTTACCACAAATGTTTCTTTTTTCATGGGCTGAGGGTTAGTCACAGTTCTCCCCAAAGCTTGGCTCACTTGATTGACTCTGTTCCATAAGCCATCATCTTCTGGCAGTAGGCTGATGGGACAGCCCCTACCTAGGACGTAACGGTTTTCACGGTGAAGGGCAGGAGCAAAAGACAAACTATCCCATGTAAGCATATTTAAAGCTCCTGCTTAGATATGTCATAAGTCAAGTTGTTCATATTCCATTGGCCAAAACCAACTTGCATGGACAATCCTCACATTGGACTGAGAAGCATACTCTACCTGCAGCCGTGGTTCTCAACCTTCCTAATGCCATGGCCCTTTAATACTGCTGACCTACAGGGTGGCAAGTGTGCACTGTTATAATACTCTTACAGTAGAGACAGTGTTAATATTTGCTCCTATACACAAAATACACACCATCTCCTCCTCGAGGAAGACTCCAAAAGTCTTATCCAGTCATGTGAGATCTAAAATCCAGGATCTCATCTAGATTAAAGTCTAGATAAAGTGTCTCTTGATCCGAGACTTGCAAACTTAAACAGCAACAAAGTATGTTATGTGAGCAACAAAGACCAGCTCCAAACCAAAGAGTTTATTTGGGAGGAGCAGGGCATTGCAACATGGTGCAAGCTATGGTGGACCATAGGTGCGTCCAAAGGGGTTGAAGCAGAGGAAAAGCTGTTGATTTTGCAACTGCTACCCGCTTCAAGCTTTTAAAGTCAAAAAGAAGTCCAACTAAGCTGTTTGGAAACAAAGACCATTGGTTACAGGACTTGTTGCAGGAGTTGGCATTAGCTCTTTGGGAGAGGGCCATTGTTAGCCAAGTGTCCTTGTGCAAGTGGCTTATCAGGAACACTGGTTTTGAGGAATTCCTTATATAGTTCCCGTCATAGGCATACTCATGTGAGGGTCTCTCCTTCATTGCCTTTAGCCTCATTAGGATCTGACATTAATGACTCCATTTTGATAACTTTTACAGTTAATTAACTGAATCGTGATCACTTCAAAATATATACATATATCAAAACATCAAGTTGCACTCTAAATATATATAATTTTTATATCAGTGATAATAAAGCTGTTTAAAAAAGAAATAAGAAATAAAAGTGAATAAGAAAGCAAGTTATTTACCTTTATCCCCCGCAACACTCACACATATACACACCCAAAATACAATGATAGAACAGGAAGAAGACAGTCGAGATAAACATTCCTTTTCTGAAAGCAGAATGAAAGGCACAAGGTGTTTGCTGCTCCATAGCAATTCTGTAATCCCACTGAGCAAGCATGAGGTCTTGTTACTCTTGGAATAAGAAAGGTATTCAGCCTGCCCCCGAGAAGTAACTTTCTTGGAGCAAGGAAATGGGTCCTTTTCTCTTATCCTTGGTCACATCTGAAGAGGACATTAGGGAATGCTTTTATCACGTTCTTAGTGTCTGAACAGCTTTCTTATTTCCTGCTTAAGGCATATTGCAGCCCAACAGTCATTTCATATTTTGAACAGTCACTACCCATTGCCAGTTGGATTGGCAACTTAGCAACATAACTCTCAAAAGCTTTTAAGAAAGTATTCGAGTCAGCTCATTCGCCAGCAGCCACAATCACAACTTCTTCTGATACCTCTGTAGACTTGGTTGCAGGTACTTTGAGTTTATTAGGCTTCTGTAGAACCATTCCTTTGTCTCTTTTCCTTGAACCTTTTTGTTAAACTAAAATTATTTACCACGGCACACATAATCCAATCCAGAGACAACAACAGGCCTGAATACCACACCCTCAATTTAATCTTCACCCCAAAACAATGTCTTTTTTTTTTTTT